AAAAGAGTTGAAGGAATGTATTTTTATATGAAAATAAGGACGTGGGTCAGGTAATAGTCCAAAATAGTGAACTTTACCAAAGTCCAGGTGAATCCAAAGAGCTGAAACAATCGAAAGAGATTGATTTAAACGAACTAGATGGAAATAAAATATTAAGCGAATAAAAACTGAAAAATTAAAATAACAAATTGAAGAATTTCGGTGGAATGAGGAATAGATGAAGGAAAAATAAAGAATAATTTAAAAAAAAAGTAAACTTGTATTGAAAACAAATCAAAAAAAATAATAAAAGATGTGTACGAGAGTAAACCAGAATGAAGAAATGTGAAAAACAAAATCAGAACTTGAAAATCCTCTTAAACGTATCGACTATGTTCTTGCTACCTGCCTTTTCTGAGGGGACGCTCTTTTCCGCTGCCGGAGGAGGATTCGTCGTCTCCACCAAAGGAAGTTCTTCGTCTCTCTTCTTCATCTGATTAACACTCGTCTCCTCCGTCTCTTTGCTTTGTACAATGTTATCGGTAACAGGTGTTTCGGGTGTGCTCTGCTGCTTCAATGATGTCGATGACGATGATGACAATGATGTCTCTACTATTCTATCTCCCGTGCTCTCACCAGCCGTGGCAGAATCCGGGTGGTAAGAACACCCGAATTCCTATTCCTCCTTTGCCTTGCTGCGTAACCTCGACGGTTTGTTCTCCTTCTGCGCTATTTGTCGGATCACGTCCACGTGACCCTCCTCGATCATCTTCGCCTCCCATTCGACCATCTCCTTCTCGTAACGCGCCTTCGCCTCCTCGTAACGCATCACGTAGACCTCCTTTTCCGATTCGGAAAGCTGCTGATATTTCCCTTTGATGCTACTAATGACTTCCTTCATGTTCATGTTGCTCTTTCGCGCGTACTCCATAAGAAACTGCATGTACGGACCAAGAGGCCTCTTTGGTCTGTTCATTTCCCTGAAACGCTGTAAAGAAAAGAACAAAAAGAAATTAAAACTGCATCATTCATATCAAATATTGAAGCAATTACTTTCTTCATATGCCTTTTCTTCTTAATATCTTTCTGCTCCTTTATCGCCGTTTTAATCGCAAGCTTCTGCTCATCAGAAAGCTTTGAGAGATATATCAGATGCTGCTTATTGTAATTATCTAATTCGGATTTATACTCATCTGAGTACTTTTCTTTGATTGTCTCATGCACATTCATCCAATCCAATGCCAAGACCTTGGTCAGCTCTGTGTTCTTCATGTCTGGATTCTTACGCATGTACTCTTCTCGGCAGTCCCTCATGAACCTGAAGTAAGGTGTCAATGGCCTCTTTGGTTTCTCAGGCATATTCAGCTCTTTCAGCTTATCAGCAGCTGAATGTTTCATTGTCGCATTCTGTTGGTATCCCACCAAAACGCTCCTGCAGACGAGTTTTTGGTTAAATAAACCTTGTACGCAAAAATAATTAATACATCCATTAAAAATCACTCTTACCTAGTTTGGAGGATGTTCTTGAATCCTCCAAAGCTGTTGAACAATTTCAACAATTGCCCCGACATTGTTTATTGTTAACAATTTTTTCACTGATTATTCTCACTTCTAAAATGAAAAGATAGGTTATAAATGGGACGCCCCTAGCGTCGTTTCCAATCAATAAAATTTGAATTTTCCCGCTGCGACATAAGCCGACTTAGATCCGACTAGTAATACGTCATTCTTATAAGATTAAATTGCGTAGCATATTGGAGGTTGAGATGGAAGAGAAAAGTTTATATTTTTTTATTATTTATTTATTAAAGCAATGGGAAAAATTATTGTGAATCAAAACAAAAATATTTAGTTTAGATCTTGTTGAAGGCGGCGATGTCAACGCTCTGGACGAAATCTTCGAACTTTTCGATTTCCTCGATCAGCGCATCCACGGAGCATTTTTCGTCTTCGACGACGCACATGACCTGCAGTTTGTTGATGCCGTAGCCAACGGGAACGAGTTTTGAGGCTCCAAAGACGAGACCGTCCATGACGATGGTCCTCACGTTCTTTTCCATTTCTTTCATGTCAGTCTCATCGTCCCAGGGTTTCACATCGAGGACAATGCTGCTCTTGGCAATGAGGGCGGGTTTCTTCTGTTTCTTCTCTGAGTAGGCCTTGACCCTGTCCTCACGGATCTTCGCAGCTGTCGCATCTTCTTCCTCATCGTCAGAGGCGAATAGATCAACATCTTCATCATCATCATCAGAATCATCTATGACGACCCTGCCGGCCCTTATGGGGTTGGTGTCTGGTGGGAAATTCTTCTTTTCTTCAGCGGAGAAAGACTTGATGTGGTTGTGCCATCTGAGGACATTCACCAAGTTGGCATTTACCTTGGGGATCGCTTCAAAGATCTCAACATCGAATTGACATGGGACAAATCTGAAGATAAAAAATATATTTATAGAAACCATAAGTAAAAAAATTATACTAACATATTGATAAGTACTCACCCACTGAGGTAGCTTTTGTCTTCCAAGAAGAGGTTCAGGTGCTTCAAGCCTTCTGCAGTTTTCACGTCTCCGAAAGTCATTTTGTAATCGATTTGCTTCTGATGGAACGAAACCACGTCTTATACTCGACGCGTTGGAAACGGAAAGGGGCTTTTATAGAGGTTAATGAATCTCTAAATTTCTTCACGTCGCACCGTTGTCAACTCGTAAATACTTTTCAATGCCGCGCCGAAAACCTCAACTTTAAAGCTTATTACTGGCAATTCAATCCAAGTACATATTTCTCATTATCTTCCAAATAACAACATTTAAATTATATCTTTAAATTATGGTTTAATAGATGAAGATATATTTAATTAATTAACGAATACCTTCGATTGACGATATTCTAGAAGACATGGCAACGTTAGTAAAGTTGCTGAGATCGGGGATTGGTTAATCAGATAATGTGTAGAATCTTATTGGTTAACCGCTGCAGATGTCAAATTGGCCTGCAGGGCCGTCAAATGTGTGGTATTTTGACATTTTAGAAGTCAAAAAAAAGTTGAAAATAAATAAGGTAATTTTCAGTATTAAGCGTAACATATTGCAGCATTATCGCCCGAATAGAGTATCTGCGCGAGACCTGGGAGCGTGCGGGATCTCAGAACACCTTCGCCACTGACAACATAAATTGAGGTTAGGTGTTGTAATTATGTAATGTGATGTATGTAATGCACTAGATTCAGTTTAAAAGAGCGTAAATTTGTGGAACGTTATATAATTTTTACGTTCACAAAGCCGACCCTTGCAAACCTTGGGGTTTCTGTAAGTTGGGTTTGAGCAGTTTGTTTTGAATTTGATTGGGATATGGTTAAAGTGATGTATTGAGTTTATTCTGGCGTTTACTGTTTCAGAGATGTTGAGATTAGGTATTTCAAAAGTCCTCTCCGGGGCGAAGATTCAGCATGTGGCTGTTGTGTCAAGGGCAGCCAGTGACATTGCCAAGAAGCCGGAGAAGATTGAAGTTTTTATTGATGATAAGTCAGTGATGGTGGAGCCTGGCACCACTGTGCTGCAGGCTGCCGCTCAGATAGGAGTGGAGATCCCTAGGTTCTGTTACCACGAGAGATTGGCAGTTGCTGGCAACTGCAGGATGTGTCTTGTTGAAGTGGAGAAGTCGCCAAAACCGGTGGCAGCTTGCGCTATGCCAGTCATGAAAGGTGATTGTATTGAATTGAAAGAGACTATTTAATCTGATACGTGTATTTTAATATTAGGTTGGCGTATTAAAACTGATTCGGAAATGACGAAGAGGGCCAGGGAGGGCGTAATGGAATTCCTATTGGTCAACCATCCGTTGGATTGTCCCATTTGCGATCAGGGCGGCGAATGCGATTTGCAAGATCAATCGATGGCCTTCGGCTCCGATCGTTCCCGCTTCACCGATATCGACTTCTCCGGTAAACGCGCCGTCGAAGACAAAGATATTGGGCCGTTGATCAAGACGATCATGACCCGCTGCATCCATTGCACCAGATGTATTAGGTTCGCTTCCGAGGTTGCCGGCGTCGACGATCTCGGAACGACCGGCAGAGGTTCCGACATGCAGATCGGCACGTACGTCGAGAAGTTCTTCATGTCGGAGATGTCCGGAAACGTTATCGACTTGTGTCCGGTCGGCGCGTTGACGAGCAAACCGTACAGTTTTACCGCGAGACCATGGGAAATCCGCAAAGTCGACTCGATCGACGTCCTCGACGCCGTAGGCTCCAACATCGTCGTCTCCACTAGGACCGGAGAGGTGTTAAGGATTCTGCCCAGGACCAACGAGGAAATCAACGAGGAATGGTTGTCCGATAAATCCAGATTCGCCTACGACGCGTTGAAGAGGCAAAGGTTGGTTACGCCGATGGTGAAAGGTTGTGACGGACAATTGAAACCTGTCGACTGGGAAGCCGCCCTCCTCACAGTAGCTAAAGCCATGAATCAAGCAGGTACAATTCGATCGAAACTGATGTTGATTTCGTATTTCAATAGCTGTTCTGTTTTAAGGTAACAAAATTGGAGCTATCGCTGGTGGATTGACCGACGCTGAAGCTTTAGTCAGTCTGAAAGACCTTCTGAACCGTTTGGGCTCTGAAAACCTCTGCACCGAGCACACCTTCCCCATGGACGGATGCGCCACCGACCTCAGATCTACCTACCTGCTGAACAACAAGATCGCGCCTGTTGAAGAAGCTGATTTCATCCTGCTCGTTGGAGCCAATCCTCGTTTGGAAGCACCTCTGCTCAACTCTAGAATCCGCAAGGGATACATCCATAACGAAACCGATGTTAGTATAAGCATATTATTAATTTAATCGATGATGATTCATTTTTTTTTATGCAGATTGCCGTGTTGGGACCCAAGACCGACATGCGTTACGATTACGAACATTTGGGCGAAGATCCAAGCGCTCTGAATCAAATTGCGTCCGGCTCTCATCCTCTAGCAGCTAAATTGAAGAAAGCCAAGAAACCGTTGATCATCGTAGGAGCCGACGCTATGGCTCGCGCCGATGGTGGGGCTATTCGCACCGCTGCGATGAAGCTGTCGCAGGAACTCCAGAGTAATATCGTGGATGGGGAATGGAAAGTCTTGAATATCCTACACAAAGTCGCCGGACAGGTTAGATTATCAGCAAATTTTGATTCGTTAAATTTAAATTATATTCAATAATGAAGGTGGCCGCTTTGGATTTGGGATACAGCGCTGGCGTGGAGAAGATCAGGAACGCCGACGGTATCAAAGTGCTCTTCCTCTTGGGAGCCGACGAAGGCACCATCAGCAGAGACGATCTCCCCAAGGATTGCTTCGTGGTCTACCAAGGTCACCATGGTGATCACGGCGCTAGCATCGCCGACGCCATACTCCCCGGTGCCGCCTACACTGAAAAGCAGGCCACCTACGTGAACACAGAGGGTAGGGCGCAGCAGACCCTAGTCGCCGTCACTCCTCCGGGTCAAGCCAAGGAGGACTGGAAGATCATCCGTGCTCTGTCCGAGATCCTCGGCTCGAAGTTGCCGTACGATAACTTGGATCAGGTCAGGTACAGGTTGGAGGAGGTCGCGCCTCATTTAACCCGTTACGGCGCCGCCGAAAACGCAAACTACTTCAAGCAGGCCTTAGCCATATCCACTGTAAGTACCACACACACAATTTCATAGTCGTGAAGCTTCAGAAATGTATTTAATTATGTCGCAGATGGCTAAAGGCAACATCAGCAATTCACCGTTGGACGTGAAACAGAAGAAATTGGAGGACTTCTTCATGACGGACGCCATCAGTCGGGCGAGTCCCACGATGGCCAAGTGCGTGGCCGCCGTCAAGAAACATATGGAATCCAAATATTAACAACATCATCATCAACAACAAAAAAAATAAACGTTAAATGCAATTTGTTTTTTTTAAATGTATTAATTTATTGAGTTCCTAGGACTCGATGGTTACGCTAAGAGAGAAAGAAAAAAAAACCAATAGTCGTGATATGTACAAAAGAAAACAATATATGCAATTGTTTAGCGACTTTTCACAGTTTCCAAGTATTTCCTTTCATGATTCTGTTGGAGTTTTTTTTTTAGATTTATTGTAAATAATAAATAAATTAAGAGCGTCGATCATTTTTATTAATTTAAAATTTTTGTTCTCAATTTTTTTTTTCTTCATTCATTTCTCAAAATAACTGTTTTAATGCGAAAATCGATAAATTAAAAAATATGTGCATGTACTGTTTCGAGTTAGGTAATCCAAACATCACGGATGCGTAATGGGAAATCTACGTAACCGATTTGATCAGCTGTGCGACGGGGCGCAAGCGTCGTCATCGATTGTCTCCGGAGGAAATGTCAGATGTGATTTGTTTTGACGTTTAAGCAGCTCGAGGTTTTTGGTGAAGTACAGGTGAGATTATTTACATTTTTTTTAAATTGTATAATTGCATCCATTCGGTTTTCGTTCGTCCTCATCTTCGTACACACTCTGAGTGAGAGAACGTACGAACGATGTACGAACTGCGTTTTCGGTCGTCATCGATTTTGAAATGCATAGGCGTGTTTTGTTGTTTGTGATTATCGAATTTCGCCGCCGCAAAATTGCATTTGTTTTCTCAAAAAAACAAAATTTAAATGCGCCAATTGCGTTGGTCGAATTCGAAGATTTGGTCGAATTTGCGCAAAATTCGAATTTGCGCCCATCGATTTCGCCTATTCGGAATTAAATGTAACGAACCAATTGATTATCGATTCGGCCCGAAATTAATCTTCTTTTTCATTAATTATGTGAAAGAAAGAGAAAAAAAAACAATCGGACATTTGACATGCAGATCCTACTATGTTATTTTCTTATTTGAATGAGTCTCGAGTCTCAAAATAAATATGACTGCGCTTCCCATGTTTATTGACGCCATTCAATTTTTAAAATGCACTTATTTTTAAATACATTGCATACGTTCGTTATTGTCTTTGATATTTAGTTCTTAAATTTTATTTTTCTTTGCTCATTGCAATTACAAAGTTAATGTGTGACTTATGTCATTTTCGTCTTGATTTTTGATAAATGTCAGTTACAATGACAATTTTGACGTTCGTGACATAATAGTTTCTATACATAAAATTTGTTTTCCAATTGGAGATTTTCCGTAAAGAAAGACACTTTTGTTTTCTTAATATATAGAAAAATGATTTCCCTAAAATTGGAATTATGAATCATAGTTTGTTTTGAAATTCAATTTGATTACGTTCATCTTATCAAAAGCTGGTGAAAATTCAAATGTTATTAATACACAATAACGTTTTGCAATTATTTGACTGTTTGTTTCTGTTTTTAGTTTGTTGTGTAAACGAAGATTAAGAATGTTATGGTTTTAAGTTGAAGATCAACTTTTCGCGGGTCATTTGCTTTTGGCAGGTGGTGGAAGGTGGGATGCGAAGAGAGTCGGTCGGCGGAGAATAAATGATGGTAAGTGGTCCATTTTGAGGGGCATCAACGCCGTTTCACGTTCCCCGGTTTTACGACGTCGGATTAAAGCGGCCGTAAAACTGCGGAGCTACTGCACAAGAACTCTCGATGTCTTCAAACCAATTTGTTGTTGTTTCCTTCGGGTGACCGGAAACTGCTGCCAATCCCGTGTATTATTCATCGGCAAAACCCGTGCCGCGATCTCTGTCAACTAGCAGGAACCCCACCTCCTGCAGCCGCGCGACGTCACGTCAATTATCCGAACCGGGGATTTGTTTTAATTCGTTGACAAGCCTTTACCCTTCGCTCTGTTTCCATTGTTTCTTTTTAGCCCCTTTTCGGGTATATAATGATACTATTGTCAAATTGGTCTAATTTTCCCCCGGTGACACTTCATCAAGCTGTCACCGACGTCAGAGAACTGTCGCAGATGTCAGAGAGGACGAAAAATCGTGATTGTTAGCATTCATTCATTCATTCCCAAATAATAACAGATTATTATATTTTTCATTCATTTACATTACTTTTTTGACAAATTCTCTTCTCTTTTAGTTTTAGAAATTACGAGACCTTTCAATTAGCCTTTGATGCAGGAACTCTTGTAGTGTGCAGTTATTACTTTTCTTACAAACACTGTTATTATCATTATTATTATCGCAGAGGAATTACGCGAAGCGGAGATTTTCCTTTGGCTTTGACTCTGATGCACAAACGTTTTTAATTTGAGAAAATTGCGTTCATTAATGATGGCAGCACAGTTTCTCGCCACTTTGATTTCGTACTACACAAGTACTATTTCACATATTTCATTTCTTTTTTTACTCAGAGCAACAATTTTCAAAGACGTAAATCAAACTTTTCAAAAAACATTTGTTTTTAATTAATTATTTGACATAAACGTTTGACGTTCTGATTTCCAATTGACAAATAAATGAATGTCCACTGTTTCCATAGATTTGTTGATTAACAAAAGGATTAATAAAATATTACTTGTAATTGGTATTTAGTTTAAGGTACTCGTTTAAGTTACGCAATAAGATGTTTACAGATTTGATCAGTTACGTTATGCAAGGCATAAAATCCACTCTCATTGAATAACATATAAAATGGAGTGCGTATAAATGGAACGAGTGAATTGATGATGACGTCGGTTCTCTACTAATAAACGGATTTATATTTAGACTTGCTGTTTTTACATCTCTCAGTTGGGGCTGTTTTTGTTTTGTTTTATTTCGATTTCTCTTGTTTTTCTATACTGAAACAATTGTTTTGTAACAGCGCCAATTGAGAGATAGAAAGGTAAAATTATGTTGTTCTTCTATATAGAAATATGTATTTTTAAATATGTTAGTTGACGTTGTTATATTCATGTTGTTTTGTGGTTTCTATTGTTTCTCTATGTAGAAATCTGTTATTATTTTGTGGTTTCTATTGGTTTTCTTCACAGAACTCACTGATGTTGTTTTGTGGTTTATATTGTTTTTCTTTGTATCAATGAAAATGTGTGTTGTTCTTCTAGACAAAATAATTATTTTTAAATCTCTCAGTTGGCGCTGGTTATTGATGTTGTTTTGCGGTTTCTGTTGGTTTTCTAAATAGAAATCACTGTTTTTAAATCTCTTGGTTGGTACTGTTATTGATGTCGTTCTTCTATGCAGTTGGCTTTGTTATTGATATTGTTTCTGGTGTTGTAAAACCCTATTGGCGGTGATGTTATTTTCTCTATGGAGAAATGAAAAATTCGGTTGCGTTTCTTTCGTTCGCTGGAAGTGCGATCGGTTCGACCCTTATCGCGTTTAAATATGTATCCGCGCGGGGGTGGTTGACGGAGTGGTGCGGGGATGGGAGGGGGTGAGGAAGGCATGTGTGTATGTGTGTAGGTCATGCCCATTGATTTTCTCTGGCGCCTATGACTCATGCGGCGGAGACAGGAAACTCACCCTCCACCTCGCGTTGCGTTTTAACCGAGAACCGCCACCAACGCAGCCGCTGTTCTCTCNCTCTCTCTCGCTCTCTTTCATCCCTCGCATCTCTTCTCTCTCTCATACCGCGATCGCCGTCTTCTTCCAATCTGCAAGCCCCCAAGCCCTCTCAGCAGCAGCTCTCTCTCTCTCAAAGTCCATCTCATTCCCTCTCTCCCAAAGGGAGATACGACTTTTCCACCCTTCGCAAGGGTTCGGCTGGTTGCCATCATCGCAATAGCGGGTCGTCTTTGGACGTCGACGTCCTCGCAGCAGTTGTCGAAGGGTTTTAATCCATTGTGGATGGGTGCTTGGGATTACAGCGACACAGTCCAGTTTCCTTCTTCACTCGAGTGAGTGAGTTATAGAGAGAGAGATCAGGTGTGACGTCAGAGAAATGCGTGGACACGGTGAAGGACGAACGATCCACTAGCTCCACTCGATTTATTTTTGGAACCCATTGATTGCAAAAAAAAAGGGTGAAAAGAAAACCTACACAATCGTACACCCACGCATCGTTTAACAACAAAAGTAAGTCCATCGATTTCATTTTAATTAACAAGTGTTCGCAATTCGTAAATATTTGTAGAACCAATCACAATCTACTTATGTAAGAAGTCATAATCATCATCATCATCAACATGAATTGATTGATACACGAAAAGGTTACTCATTATAACAACTTCTTTGTAAGTTAGTTTCATTAGTCACGTTTTTGTAAAGATTGTTAGCAAGAAATCTTCGAAAACTATAATAATGTCAATTGTGTCATTCATTGTTTTTGTAAGGAATTCAATTGTTTTGTTCCACTCGTGATTTTTATGCTTTTTTTGTTTGTTTATTTATTAAACAAATGAACTCGATTAATGAATTAATGTACATAACGATTATTTTTATATATTTATACAAACAAATATTAATACAAACAAATCTTCTAAAATTTGTAGAAATCATGTTCTTATGTTGTTGTCACAAATTGATACATTTTTTTTTTGATGAATTTAAGAACAAATTTGTTTGAAAACTGAACTAAATTCAATTGATTCCAGCTGTTTTCTTAATGTTAAACACATGTTCATATCGATTATTGAACATATTTATTCAACAATGAAAAATATTTTATCGACGATTTTATGCGAATAATTGTTTTTATATATCATTATCGTATCTGGAAAACCGATTCATTGCAGAAATCGTTGTTTTGTCGTTGCTTTTATATAAATCGTTATGTTGTAGATAAATTTATTGAAGAATTTAGGAACAAATCTCAATTAATTCACTGTTTTGTTATTGAACGACATGAAAATGACTCGCATAGTGCGGATAATCGATTCCGCCGCACTGTTTGAAACGGGACTAATCGAGAAGTTTTAAAATATGCAAAAACTGTATAAATGCAGAAAAAAAATACATTTATTATATATTATTTTTTAAGTGTGCCGTGGAAGTTTAACTTAAGGTTCAAGTGTGCCATGAGATAAAAAAAAAGAGAACATGAGCAAAATTATTACATGAAAATTATGTTTTCATCTCAATTTTCAACACAATTTTTCTCAATTTGAAGATTGTTAATTCAATTACGAATTTATGCTCGATTTTGTGCATAATAATTCAATTGTCAAATAAATGTACTTATCTGCATTCGTTTACAGAATAATAGAGTACATATAGAATCAGATCTATAGATTTACTTTTCAAATACGAGAGTCATGCTTTTTATCGACAAAGTTGGAAGTAATCCAAAAAAATAAAACAAACAAACACAGTAGTGATTGTACAATCAACGAGTTTCAATCGTTGAACCGTTTCCAAACTTCATTGTTGCAATTAGTAGAAGAAGAATAAAAAAAGTCTGCGTATTTTCCATACACTCATTGGATTGGAGCAACGTTTCTTCGTTTCATTAAACCAGGCGCATCCACAATTTTATTATTGATTGATTATTTTGTAATTTTTCAAACCATAATAATAATTGATTTGTTTGTTAATTTCGTTTACAAAACGATTGTGATTGTGTAAACATTACCAAAAAAATTGATTCAAATAATGAATTGGAGTAGTTTATACTCTGTAAACAAAGCGCCGCGATTCGTGTGCACACAGAAAGTATATCAAGTTTATCAGCGGAAACATTTGTCGAAGCTTTTGATGTTTTCAGCGTTTTTATCTGCTGAAACCCGAACGATGTTTAACAAAGTAATTAATTCTCAGCACGAAAAACACTCCTCTTTTGCTTGCTTGCAAAAAAGTGAATTGTTTAACTACAAATTATCGAATTTAAAATAAAAAATTCTGAAATATTATCCATAAAACATTTCATACATGCATAAAATAGAGAAATGCAGTAACTTTTTTTGAGCATAATAACATTCACATAACATTTGCATCCTTTCGAATAATGCAGAGAAAACTTTTACCGTTCTAACGAAATAAATGAACTTTTCCATCTTTGTCGTTCCCCTTCTATGAATAAAATGCAAATCGCGGAACATTTATTACGCGAAAAGAAACGAGTTGGGACGGAGGAACACTGTGTGTTCTTCGGATTACAACGACAAGTCATCTGTCAAACCTGTCAAAGAAAAAAGTTTCCTCTATTTTCCGCAAACAATCTTTGCAGAAACGTGAACCACGTAAGCATATTCTGACGTATCAATCACAGCTATGTTTGTTGTGTCTACACGTACAACAAGTTTACTATACAGTGGTACCTCATTTAACAAGAAAAACGAGCGATGTTTCGCATAACGAGTGACGATGAGAAGAGAAGTCCCGGATTGTGCGCCTGCTACATCACTTTTAAAACACATATGTGTATTTTTGAATATGTTTCACTATACGAGTCAAAATTTGGAACGGATTAAACTCGTTAAACTGTGTTTGTTTTTTTTTTGTGAATAGTCAAGAATGTTTGCTTTTGATCAAAGACGCAGAAAATCTAATTAAATGTTATTCCGAATCAACGAAATATTAATTACATTCTTAGTTTACTTTGAAGCAAAAGCAGTAATTAATTTTCTTTTGTTTGCTTTCGAACAAAAGTAATTATAATTATGCGATGTGAATGGAAACGTGTTTTTTATTTTATTGTTAAGATTTAATATAGAAAATGGTCTATGTTATAAAAATATCGCGTTGCTTTGGATTATATTGATTCGTAATTATTTTAGATGTAATTTAAAAGCGTTGCCCGGCGCATCCACCAATAATTGATTGCCAGCGCTAATGGTTGCCAGTGAAATATTAAAGCGCCGTTCGGACGGTTTCATTCCAATTAAAATTTACGCGAAAGTTATTTAATTCGTTTGGTCTTTATATTCCTAATGAATACACAAGTAGAGAATACTTTTGTTATGTAATGCGATTTTGAACATATGTCATCAAATGTCAAAAATAATAAACTTACATTTTTGTATATTCTTAATGTTGTTTAGACATCGTTATCAATTGCTGATATAAATATTATTTAAGTTGGTACAGTTTTTATATTACTGACACTTTCGGTTTTGTCATTTTGAACTAATCAAATGTCAACCTCAATTTTATTTTCGTTATATAAATTCCAATTAAGTTGGTAAAGTTTCAATTTTACAAAAATAAACGAAATGGATCGCCTAGTCAGAAACCACTTTAAGTTGGCACAACACATGAAATGTCAATGAAACTTACTTTATATTTATTAATAAGTGAATAACCATGGTAACCATCCATGGTAACTATGGAAACGCAGAATGTTTAATTGCGAGTTTATTTTATTTTCCTCCTTAGAACTATATACATATATATTTTCGTGAGTAATCATTAAAAATGCACGGCGAGATGTACTTTATTACGGGGTCTTTGGTGCGGAAACGACCTCATCCATTATTTCGAACCGACTTTTACCGTATCTAAATAATAGATGGCACGATATACGAGTAAAATAATAAAAGTACGTCAATTGATTAGCGGCAATAATTGAGTTCGCGCTCGTTTAAATTCGAAACGTGAGCGATAATTTTTGTGTGGAATAGTGAAGCCATTGCCAAATAGAAACATTAACGCTCTGCGGATAATCCAGGATTTCGTATCCTCTCCTTGGGGAGAAAACGAATTCCCAATGACGTCCTCCGTTATTTATTTTCGTGTCCGAAGGGTAAACAAAAACATTGGAGAGCAGCCTCTGTCGGCCTCCAAAATGCGATCCTGAATTAATTATGTGCAGGTAATCGATGGATCGACGATAGAAAAAATAAATAGAGGTGGAGAAAGAAAACAAACGCGCAACGAAGGATGCCGTATTATTTAATACCCGGTGGGCGGTGAATGCGAGCGTTCAGTTCATGTGCATTCCAGTCCATTAATCGCGATGACTCACAGCGCGAATTTTTCGTATATTTAGAGCAATTCCATCTATTGTTCGGTCACCGTCATTCGCTGAAGTACATTCGGATTCATCGTGCCAAGTTTTCCGTTACGTAACAAACGGATGATTCGATTGCATCTCAAATTTGACATTGACAGCTTTTTGTTTTGACATTTCTATCTGAAACAAGAGCATAATAGTAAAGTAAATTTCTAATACTTTTATAAATGACAGCTGACGTTTTGCATCTATTGTTTAATCATTATCATTTGTTGAAGTAGTACAATTGTTTTCAGTTGCGTTCGAATCATTCCACTGTCAAACTGTAACAGATGATTCGATTTAATCTCAAATTTGACATTGACAGCTTTCAATTTTGACACTGCCAGCTTTTTGTTTTGACATTTCTATCTGAAACAAGAGCATAATAGTAAAGTAAATTTCTAATACTTTGATAAATGACAGCTGACGTTTCGCATCTATTGTTTAATCATTATCATTTGTTGAAGTAGTACAATTGTTTTCAATTTTACAAAGTTTTCAGTTGCGTTCGAATATTTAAACTGTCAAACTGTAACGGATGATTCGATTGCATCTCAAATTTGACATTGACAGCTTTCAATTTTGACACTGCCAGCTTTCTGTTTTGACATTTCTATCTGAAACAAGAGCATAATAGTAAAGTAAATTTCTAATACTTTGATAAATGACAGCTGACGTTTCGCATCTATTGTTTAATCATTGTCATTAGTTGAAGTAGTACAATTGTTTTCAATTTTACAAAGTTTTCAGTTGCGTTCGAATCGTTCCACTGTCAAACTGTAATGGATGATTCGATTGCATCTCAAATTTGACATTGACAGCTTTCAATTTTGACATTGCCAGCTTTTTGTTTTGACATTTCTATCTGCAACAAGAGCATAATAGTAAAGTAAATTTCTAATACTTTGATAAATGACAGCTGACGTTTCGCAATTGTTTTCAATTTTACAAAGTTTTCAGTTGCGTTAGAATCGTTCAGCTGTCAAACTGTAACGGATGATTCGATTTAATCTCAAATTTGACATTGACAGCTTTCAATTTTGAAACTGCCAGCTTTTTGTTTTGACATTGCCAGCTATTAGTTTTGACATTTCAGTTACGTTGATACAAAACTAGTTAAATCTATTTTTTGCAAATTCAACAT